ATTCGTCTCCCTCTTCCAACAGCTGCTCCTTCTTTCCGCAGTGGAAACAGCAAGAAGCACAGCCAATCTTGGCGGAGAAATACTGCACCTTCACAGGTGTGTTACAATTAATAGAGCAGCGGACCTTAATTTCCTCATGATCTCCAGCAGGAAACAGTGGTGCACCGCATTCGTGCGCAGCAGCACTCACGGCATTGGCCACGGCAGCAACTTGCTGCTTGGAGAGCTTCTGATGACTGTAAATGCACCGAGACCAGCTACACTCAGTGCAGTAAACGCAAGACCTCACCATAGGAGTTGTCCAATTATTAATAGCATGCCCAGTACCACCATCTTTTCCATAGATTTGGCATGCCGTCACTTGGTCCGCTGAAGCGGAAGTATTGATATTCCCATCAACAAGTTTCTCAAACAGTTCAGCAAACGTCGATGACTCGTCAGCAGGACCGACGACACAAGGTGGACACAAAAGTGTGCCACCACTGCAGACATAAGAAGCGGAGAGAAACGTTACGGACCTTTCGCTAACGATTTTCGTTAATTTTCCTTATGTCTGGATTATGTACCTAAGTTTCGTAAATTTTTCGTTTCGCTCGGCATGTCCACATTTCGTTGCGTTGTTGTCGTAGCAACATATTTCTCACCGGCGGGAGATTGAAAAACAATTTTACGGCGTACCTTTTTGTGTTTTCTTCTTGTCTAAATTCCAAATTTCACCTTAGAGAACTCAATCCTGAAAAATTCTAAATGCTTTTACTGTATAGCAGGAAATTTCGGACGGAATTTATTTTCGTACGATTTTGTACACGGCCTCTTTTGTGCTAAAATTAATTCCGTGCTAAAATTTGTTCATGTGAAATTGTGTACACTATACATGTGTTCTTCTTGCAAACACGTGTATTTAGCATGCAGCACTGTACGAAAATATAATCCGTACGAAAGGTCGAAATTCGGCTTTGTCCGAAAATATTTCCGTCCGAAAATTTCCTGCTGTACAGTATCTCTGTTCCTTAGGATCCGCTTGATCGTACGTGCTGCTCCGCTTGGTTTTCTGGGGCCGGTCTTCCGCTGATGATTTCTCCGAAAGGGTCCTACAAGCATCTGCTCGGCCACAGCCTTTTCCGCATGCTTGGCTGTCACCACTGCCACTGCGGCTTGCTCCTTGCTCCTTCTCGGCCTTCAGCTCTTGTAGCTCGGTTAGAAGCACGTCTGCTTCGGACAAGTCCTGTACAATACCAAAGGCCGATTTGCTTTTGCTATCTTTGGATTTCTGCTTCGACATCAGCAGGTGCAGCCTATCTGAAGCGCCTTTCTTTTTTAAATTGCCGAACCGCTGGTCTTGTTAGGATAGTTCATCAACGACATCATCCATTACGGACGAACCACGGACGAAAGGATTTCCTGATCCACGAATCTGTCTGAGCAGGACCAAGTCCATGCCTGAGTCCCAAACTATCCGTTACCTATCCGGTGTAATAGGTGTCGGAGGAACAGAAGTGGTGGTGGCCATGGTAGAATATCACTAATGCCCACCAATTCAGAAAACTCGACATCGCGAAGCTTGCCGCTTTGGACTGTCGCACACCACACTGTCACCGATCCACATCGACATGGGGCAGACGCTGGACCAGACAACACACCACCGATAATGTCATAAAGCTCGACGGTGTGGGCTGTCACACACGACATGGTCACCGGTACACTGCTTCGACCCGGGGCGGGCGCGGAATCCGAGGACACACATCGGATCTCTGTGTTCCACACAGTCTCGCCGCTTACATCTTCCGTGCTAACCAGTAGTATCGCCCTTCTCATTTTCTCGGCTTCTACGCCTTGCGTTTCTAAGTCTTGCGCCTCTAACTCTTTCGCCTCCAACTCTTGCGCCTCCAACTCTTGCGCCTCCAACTCTTGCGCCTCCAACTCTTGCGCCTCCGACCGATGTCGCCATGCACTGTACCGACCCAGTGGGCCTCGGATCTGATCCTCCCACTGGCTTCGAATACTCTTCTGACCGCTGCTTGTCTGTAAGCAAAGTCTTACACGCCTTGTCCGGCGTCCTTCTGGGCGAGGCAAGCAAATCTCGCTTTGCTTCCTCATAATATGTACTGACGGCGATGCGCTCGGCCATCTTCTTGAGCTTTTCGTTAACAGCCCGCCAAACAAGAACGAAAGCAATATTCGTTGAAAGTGGCGTTTTCCGTCCAGATCAGACGAACTTCCGTAAGATCTTCGTAAGGCGAGACCAAAATAAAATCGAGATTCCCGGGCAGGACCCATGTGAAATTGGTGCGGGCGGGCGAATTTTATTTTTTATTTTTTTCCCGTGTACGTACATGACTATATGTACATATATGTGTGCATGCCATGTTGAACTTTTTGTACAGCTTTTCTCATCATTTTTACTCAATTTTGTTTACAGACAACAGGTATGCGTTGTACCCGTTCAATTTTTCTATAATTCGGCCAGCGATGGCCCTGATATATCTGTACATCTGGGAGTCGTACAAGCTCGGGTTTGTGTGACTCCACGTCGCAGATCTACTCACACGATCAGTACTGTGCATGTATGGACTGTTCAAAAAAAAATGGCTTTGGCTCGATTTAGGTGCGGGAGGGCCCGGGAATCTCTGTTTTTTTGGTCTCGCCTAACCTCATTCCCGAACTACGAAAATGGTGTACGAAAATCGTTCGCGAAAGGTCTCTATTCTCATGCAAGTCTGGAGATATAAGCATATCACTACAGGAGGGACAGCCCGAGCTACTTGCAGCCGGCCAAAGACAGCACAAGTAGAAAATCCAAACGAACTTTCTTGTTCCACGTGCAAACCTCCAGAGTCCAGTTCAAGACAGATGTAGAGCAGGGCGCGTTCGACATCAGACAAGTTGTCATGATGAGGTAGCCAAACTTCCGTGTGACCTGTGCCGAGTAGATCTACGAGTCGAGTCTGTGCGCGTAGGTCTACGCACCTACGCACCACATGCTGCACTTGCCTGCATGTGATGTGTGCGAGGCTGTAGCTGTAGTGCAGCGTCACTCATACTCTAGCTAGCTCTGCGACCAGTGCAGTGTGTGCACGTGGGCGTATAAAAAAATTGAAAGTAAAAATTATTTTCCGAATCCGAACGATTTAGTTGCGCGCGGGCCCAGAAACCTCGGTTTTACTTTGGTCTGGCCTACGTCACCCGTGCTACCCAGATAGAAACACCCGAACTCGTTACCCGACCAAACCCCTACCCGTTGCAGCCCTAATTTTGTGCACATGTGTGTGTGTGTGTGTGTGTGTGTGTGTGTGTGTGTGTGTGTGTGTGTGCATTTGTGTGTGTGTGTGTGTGTGTGTGTGCACGTGCAACTATGCGTTTGTTGTGCATATGTGTCGCTACAGATCAATGACCAAGTCCTGGCGTTCTCCGACACGATGGACTGGCTGGAGTTTGCCGCGGCCAGCAAGGGCCTACAGCGCCTGCTGAACGTCAACCTGCTGGTACCGGACGTGTTGGCGTCACTCGCAGCTCGTCTTGACGCACAGCGCGGTGCCATAGCTCCTCTTCTGCTGTGCTCCATGTTTCATCTCTACTGCCAGCTGTCCAGCGGTAGTGTTGGTTTGCCGTCGGGAGAATCACATCTGCCACAGAACTACCACCGGTGGATGGACACGGTATTGCTGGTGCCCTTTCAGCACGCCAGTATCAACGAGGTGGTCAGCTTTATCAACGTGCTGGCTATGCAGCCGAGCGGCGAGTCTATCCGCTCGCGCTGCGCGCACGCCGCCACACTGCGACCACTGCGCAAGTCGGAGCTGTCGTTCGATCTTCTCTCCTCGCAGACGTGGCCGACGGCCACGCTCCGCTCTCTTGTCTCGTCCTCCTGTGTGCCGCACAGCTGGATGAAGTCGGTATGCGACGCTCTCATGCCCGAGCTGCCACTGTTAGTGGAGAATAAACCTGATGGGCTTCTCAAGGTGATTGCGCCGCTTCTCGAGGCCGAGAACCCGTTCACGCTGGCCCTCAGCGACGCCCTGTCCAAGACGCTTGTCGTGTATTGCGCCCGCGTACGTGCGGCCACGTCCGGTGAGAAGCCCAGCGCGGCAACAGAGGGTGTCATCCGTCAGCTGATGCAGCTGCCCTGTGCCAGAGGGGTCACCGTGCCGCCAGAATTCCTGGCCTTTGGCTTCAAGCCTGCAGCTACTGCTGCTGGAAGAACACCGCCGTTGTCTGTGCTGAGGTGCGCTGCGCAAGCGCGTTCCCCGTTGCCCTTTAAAACAATCGTGGAGCAGGTTCGCAAGCAGGACGAGCAGCTGCAAAGCAGCCGAGTGCGGAGCAGGCGGCAGGACAGCGAGGGTCAGAAGGTGTTGGAGACAGATGAATATGAGTCGCAGCAGCAGCAGCAGCAGGACCAGGAGCAACCACAACCACAACAGCAGCAAGACCAGCACCAGGAGACACAACAGCAAACACGGAAACCAAGCCCCCAGATGCAAGGTACCCCAAGCGACTTGAGTCGACATGATTCCTCAGCAACAAGAAAACAGTCAGAGGCGCCTTCGCCATCACCGCCATTGCCACCTGAGCAAGAGGAACAGCAAAAACAGCAGCGGCGGAGACAAGAGGGCTCAGCTCGACTTCGACAAATGCCGCCTCTTCCGAAACAAAGTCTGCTACAACATCAGGATCCCAGTCGGGAGCAGCTCCGGGCGCCACTATCTCCGTCGCACCAGACTTCTGGGCCTACAAGGCAGCAACAACATCAGCTGCCACAGCAGCAGCAACAGCCACAAAAACAGCAGCAACAGCAACAGCAGCAACAACAGCAACAACAACAACAACAACAACAACAACAACAACAGCAGCCGCAGCACCAGCAACAACAGCAGCAACAACAGCAGCAACAACAGCACCAACATTCATGGCGAGGCGGTGGTGGTATTCCACGGTCAATGTCACATGCAGCTGCTGTGCGTTCTCCGCCGGGTCTTTACCCCCACAACAACCAGCAACAGCAGCAATATCCTGCTAGGATTAAAAACAACCGGCCACAGCCGTATCAGCAACTATCGTCGCCGTCTGCCCGTGGAGTACGCAGCCACGGGCTACCACCACCACCAGGGCAGCGAGCGTCGCCACATGCCCCCTCACCGTCACTCAAACCACTGGCCTCATCTGACATCAGGCGAACTGTGCGCGTAGTCGAGCAGAATGTGCTACCATCCTACACCCCCACAAGCTCTTCGCAACATCCGCACCAGGTGCATACAGCAAAGGGAGTGAGTGTTGCCTCCAACTCCGTCAGCACCAGCAGAAGTGGCGTGCAACCCAACCAGCCACCCGGTGTCAAGTCGAACTTCTCCGTTCTGAGCACTCTTGTGCGGCAGGGTGATGCTTTCCCTTCAGTGATGTCGCAAGTTGCTGGCTTACGGACAAGCAGCCCTCGTGAGCACGTTGAGAACCCCATGCTGAATAGGAAACCGTGACAGCCACGAACAGATCTCTACTTGAGGCGAGTAGACCAGCCTAATCTGCGCCCTAACTCCTTGAGAGCCTGATCCCTCTCTTTTTCTATCTACCTCTCCCCCGTCTCTCTCTCTCTCTCTCTCTCTATCAGTATGTCTTTCTCGCTCTCTCCATTGCTCCACTTGGTTCGAATGTTAATTTTTTCATTTGGATTTTACTTTTTATCGTAAGTTTTTTTGTTTTGTTTTATAATTATCGTTTTAATTTTACCTTTGACATGTTTCATTATTCAGCTGAAAATTCGCCATTTCTTGACAAGTCAAAACACAGTGTGTGACTTCGGACATCTTTTGTCTTTGTAACTGACGTTATTCAAACATGCACATAATTTGTGTGTGTGTGTTTGTGTGTGTGTGTGTGTGTGTGTGTGTGTGCGTGTGCGTGTGTATGTGTGTGTATGGATTCACTAGCCAGAAAAAGTCACTTCAAACAGCTGTGTGGTGGATACCAGGCTAAAAATAGTGGCGGTCAATTCATCAGCCTTGCAAGCTGTTGAATGGCACAAGTTGCTATGTCTAACATATCTGTTCGCTATCATCGCTTCCGCGATGGGCATGTCTGAGGTCTGAGGTGTGTGTATGTGTGTGGGTGGGTGCGTGGGTGTATATATGTGTGTGCGTGTGTGCTTGTGTGTATGTGTGTGTGTGTGTATGTGTGTGTGTGTGTGTGTGTGTACATATGTGCATGACCGAGCACATCTGGAAAACGAGGCCACTGGACTTTGTAAATGTCAGTATTATTTAGACGCCAATCACTTTTGTCAACGTTTGGGAGATTTAACTAGGAATGTATCGGCAGGTTTGGGCCTTGTCAGGTGTTCCCAGTGCTCATTATCCTCAATAGTGGAAGACATGTGCTTCAGAGCTTTCCCAGCGTCTGTATGCACTTTGTAGCGCTCTGACTTGCCGCGTTCCGTCTCGACGCTAACCCTGTGCGGACACCGAACAGCAACGTACAGCGCATGTTGCTCAATGAAATCCAGTCGCGTCGCTCAAGTTTGCGCCTTGCACCGTTCAGCAGCCCAGTGTTCGCAAGGCTGTGGCTGCGTAACGCCCGGCGCGCACACGAGTGAACCGACTGGATTTCATTGAGCAACACTGTGCTACGTACTCCCATAAAAGGGTACAGTGCTGCTCAGTGAAATGAAATTCGATCGTGCGAGTCGAGTACGCCACGCCGAGCGCTATGCAGCTCTAGACCTGCGAACGCTGGGATGGTCACTGGTGAAAGCGCAATCTCACTCGATCGTATATATTGTGACATGTGATAAATATAATTATCACTGACCTAAATTTCGTGTTGTTTAAAGCACCTGTTTGTATTTTGACTAGGGGTGTCATAGAGTAGTGGGGTACTCGTGCCACACATTATTCTTCACGAGACAGGAAAGCTCAGCTGGCGTTATTTGGCCCGCGCGTTGGAAAACAACGCGAGTGACCTGCAGCTAGCTCACGTCGAAACATGGAGTACGGTGTTGTTTGTAATGGTGCATGTCAAAAGCGTGACTTGTATGCTTACTGTAAACTTTCTATGTAGCACAAGTGCACACTCACTGTACAAACTATGTCAAAAAATACCCGATAGGGTACTCGTGCTACCGGATAGAAATACCCGAACTCGTTAAAAAAAACCTGCCTTTTGCAGCCCTCGTTTTGACGAAGGGCCAATAGTGATTATGCATACCATACCCATTGCTTGTCTGTGGAAAGGTCGTTTGCAGTTTTGACATGCTCTGTAGCCATGGACAGTACTACTATGTGTGTGTGTGGGGGGGGGGGGGGGGGGGGAGAGCATGGCTTCGCATCTTTGGTGGTGTGCACTGCGAATAAAACCCTTTTTTTCCAAATACAGTAAATCTGCCCTAACTGGACGCCCTTGGTGCAGCGGAGACTGTCCCGATGTGACAGGATGCCGCTTGGTCCAGCTAGGGATGCAAAGTTGATTTGATCCATAGCACGTCGGTGCGTGAAGAATTGTCTGGTCAATACAGTGTTCTGCAGGGCACGGGGTCGGGCAAACACAGCTTTCACTGTAGTTTTAACAAGTAGACACCTGCCTTGTGTTACACTAGGGCCCGAGCTTCAATACTCTTCAAGAATCGCTTGCAGTGGAGCCTGCGCGCGCACACCATAACCAAAGACATTGTGTAAAAAAGAGGATCGCTGTATTTTTTGACTATGTTACACGTGCTGGCTAGGAATTGAGCAGATCAACAAAGGGCTTCCATGTAAAATGCAGAAACTACGGGATCCTACAGTGCACACTGATCATACGGGGCAAAATCACGAGCTCTTGGGGACAGAAAATTCAATAATAATAATCATGTTGTCTCAAGCAATTGTATCTACAAGCTGTACAGACTGTTTGTGTACATACGCTGGCTATATAGGTCCTCTGGAAATCATCTGCAAGTACGTATATAGTCCTTGGTCCTGCGTACTGTGTGTACTAGTGACGATAATTGCAATTCTAGACACAGAAACGCTGGAAATAATTTCAGACAATATCCTGTGCGAGAATTCTACATTGAGTTGTTTTATAATATAAACTACACCGCCCCGGCAGTGGAGCTCGTCACGTCAAGGTCAGAAGGTAGTGAATGTACCACCAGACTTGGCTTAATCCAATTGTTCGGTGGCCATTTCTTCGATGCTGCCAACTCGCCGCGTCTTCAACGGTAGCGAGTTGCCAGTCAGGTTGGAAGGGGACGGAATGTGAACGATCACTTCTTTGCCAAAGATTGCCGTTCGGTCTCTGCTGTCGCTCTTGATTGGCTCTGCTACAGGACAGCGATTGCTTGGCAGATTTCCCTCGGCACTGCTTCTGTGCTTGGCGAGCTTCCACCTGCGACTTTTAGCTTTGGAGCGGCGGCTGGATAGAGACTTGGGAGGCGACTTCCCCTTCCGCTGCTTGAATAGCAACAGGAACATGAACGCCAAGGTCATGAAGCAGAGTGAAGCAGCTCCCAAGGACGCCTGGGAATGTGCGTGATGGTTATCATGCTGACCTGGTATGACGTAGAGGCGGGTGCCGGTTCGGAGATGAGTGTGCCGAGCGCACCACTTGTCACTGGGGACAGGACGAGACCAGCCCGAAGCGTGGCACACCGCGGTGCGACATACCCTGCGGACATTGTCATCGGCTGCAGGGGACAAGAGCACACAAAGAGCAGTACCATTAAAGAAGTGGAAGTCACATATTTTGCCACCAACAACCGGTTGTGGGGCAATTTAAACATGTTTCCGCTCCATCCCAACCCAAAACGACTGTCGACTGAACGACTGTTCTGGGTTGGATATAGCGGATTAGTTTGATCGGCAGCGGTGACACCGTTGGAAATCCTGATATTCCACTCTAACTAAAGTGGTGTGTCCAGGTAGCCATGAAGTCGAGAGCCCAGGTCGGCGCAGCTCCCTAAACCTAACTCACCACGACTGCCATGACTAATGTTTTGCGTGCTTGCCCAGCTGCAGCTAACTTATATGGTTGGCATTTAAAGTGGCCTTTCTAAAAAGAAAAATCTGAAACACACTGGAAGTAAAACGCGAAGATTACAGTCCAGCAGTGGAAAAGACCATTTGTGTTCATCATTTCATTTTCTGCTCAAAGTCAAAGCATTATACATGATTTCTAGTGCCTAGCAAGCAGCACTGAACATGAGGAGCTGGCATGCAAAGCCCGCTAAGTGCCAAAGTTGAGAGAATAAGATTTCCAGCTTGATGCAAATAGGAGGTCCAGGGGTAGATCTACCTTCAAGCAAATTTAACATTTGACCATTGTCTGAAAAGTGGTGAAATGGATCCAGTGGGCTTTGCATTCCAGCTGTTCAAAGGGAAGTGGTGTCAAAGCGGATGGTTTCTCCGTGACCAGGCAGTGTGGGAGCGATTCCGGAGACGTGCAAGTAATGGGTATACTGAGATGGGGCGAGAAATGCCAGAAGACACGGCTAGAATGAATCTGTCCTCCCATTCCGTTCTCTGCTGGACTGTGTATGTCAGCATAAAAAAAGTAGAAAAGGTACTCACCGTGGTGGTGGCTGGAGCCAAACCTGAAGCAAAGCCTCAGTGGAGTATGCACTGGTACCAATGCCTTGCGCTGGCTGATGCGTGGCACTAGGTAGAGATTGCGCGGGTCACGCCACACCGCTGTCAGGTCGCCTTGGTGGACGGAGTCGCCGTCCAAGTGTAGGCTGTGCGATCCGAGCGGGTTGAGCTGCGGGCGATTAGTGTCGGACGAGAACTCGATGTGAACATGCAGGAGCTGGTCATCGTGAGTTACTAGTTCTGAAAAGTTTACGGTAGGTGTCTGGGCAACAACACGGACACAGACGTGAATAAACACACACATGTAAGGGGCTATCCGGCATTATCAATAATTTTACCGAAACACAAATGTTAAGTTATTACACACAAAAGGCACAGAGAAGTTTTCAGCGTACAGTAAAACCTGTACCTGAAGACGACCGTTACTAGCGACGAGCCTGCTACTACAGACCACTTCGCCAGGCACGGCCGCTCTCACATTCATAATATACGGGTGTGCGGTGTAAACCTCTAGCGAAGGACCACCTGCCACACAAGACCACTTTCTCTGGCCCCAAGGGGAGGTCGTTAGTTACAGGTTTTACTGTATTTTTCAATTCCGCCGTGAGTTTCTTGTACAATACAAACATCAGGCGACGGGACAGTGCTTTCTCAGTCGACGTAACAAGATGCCTCTCAATACTCTTACTCATGCTTGTTTGCCCCGTCTCCTTCCCCGATGATTACTATATCCCTGAAAGCATCACCCGAGAGCACAGGCTCGCGGTAACATGAAACCAAGAGCACGAGACAGAGAGTGTGCAGAGAGTGTGCAGCTCAGAGGGGTTGCTGTCACGGCGAAATTCCGTGATTACATCGTTTTCGTGATGTAGTGCGTACAAGCAGGATTCAAGCAGGTCTCTTGCTGCACAAAAGCAGCTCAGTTGTATGCACTACGCCACTTCCCGCCGCATATCTGCACGGGCTACGATGTCATCGCGGAATTTTGCCGTGACAGACTCCCATGCAGAAAAGTCAGAAGCTACAGTCCATTTCAAAACTATAGACGCGTAGGGTTTTTGAAATATTTCAAATTTGGCTGGACCTTTTTGAGAATAGTGTTCGGAATATTGCTCAGGGACGCCCCACAATTACTCCCATATAGTTTCTAAACGACTGGATAACAGACGCCCAATTTGGACAAATTTATGCACAAGGTGATCACAGATGTTATGTGGTATAGATGCTGGCATAACGGTTTTTGCCTAGGTACGCGTCTATAGTTTTGAAATGGACTGTAGACACTCTGGCTGTACTGTACTAGTATTCTTGGTGAAAATCTTCTGTGAGTAGACCTTACAGCTTCAAGCGGGCGATGTCTATCAAGTTCGGACAACAGATCCAGGCCATTGGTGAGCAGGGACTCATCGAATGTCGGCTCGGAGGAGCTGCGGCGTCTTCGTCGTCGGCCCGTGAGTCCACCGGTCGAACTGACGCACGGTGTGTCGCTGCCGTCATCGCTAAGGCACTGGGCGCACAGTACTGGCGGACTGTCATTGATCGTTGCCAGGGTGATGTTGACCGAGCCGATGTTGATGACGTCACTCCCGTGCCGAGAGGTTTTCACTGAATATGTTACCTGTTGTGTTGGCAAGAAAACAGTCAACAGAATGTCAGAGACAGAGTTGAACTTCACATTGCAGCACACAGCCAACAGAATGCCACAGAGAGTTGAACTTCACATTGTAGAACAGAGTGCTTTCCTAAGCTTAGGGAACATTCAGACAACCGTAAGAAGTGACGGAATAGGAACGTTTCCCCAGCACAACATACACAAAATAATGTACCACAAAAAAATAATATCAATAAAGTTGCGAACGGTACCATTCGGCTGTTCAAAAACAATGCAACAATCTCGTAGTCGTAGTCGACTACACATGGAGGAGAAGAGGAGGAGAGGTTGTTACAAGAATATCAATAGCAAAAACTCACCCAGCGGTGAATGATGAGGTCCGCCCCACCAGCCTCCAGGTGGCTGGAACGATACTTGGGCTCAGCATCCACATTCGTGTAGACCAACTGTACAAGAACGTCATCCCGCCATTCCTGAAGCACACGTTGACAAACACAGACATCCATGCACGCACATACACACACACACACGTGGTGCATGTACACACACACACACACACACACACACACACACACACACACACACACACACACACACACACATACACACACACACACACACACACACACACACACACACACACACACATACACACACACATGTACACACACACATACACACACACACACAAGCACACACACACACACACACACACACACACACACACACACACACACACACACACACACACACACACACAGAACAAATGCTCTAAATATCTAAATATGCGCATAATGATACTTGCAACAACAGGCTATGATTAATATATTTTCTGGAGCATAAGCCGTACCCCCAGTTTTTGCCACGGAATACAGACATCTTTCTTATTTTTTGGCTCTCCACCCGCGTCTATCTATCTTATTTATCAATGTTAATTTGATCATTGGAGTATAAGTCGTACCCCTTATTATGGGTGAATTTCAAGTGTTTAAAGTGCAGCTTATGCTCCCGAAAATACCATATGCAACATCTATGCACCACTATCCGGGGGAATGGGGGGGGGGGGGGGGAGGACACACGAGCTAGAACCACTGGAGCATGCGCTCTTCTATACTTGAGTGGATATCATTGCTATGGTGACGGAGAGGGAAATACGAATAGTGAGTATTGTGCGGTCTTAGTATAAACACACCTGTTACAAATGCAGGCATGAAATCTGCACCGTGAACACACACGCACACACACAGGCACGCACGTACGCACACACACACACACACACACACACACACACACACACACACACACACACATCGGAGCATCACTCACCCGTAGATTGAGAGAGCCTCCAGGCAACAGCGGCGTGACAACCAACGTACTACCCACCAGTTCAGTCTGTAATTGCACAGGAGACCAAGAACAAGTACAAGAACAACATGTGTGATTCGGCATGCATCCATGATTGAAAGTTATCAGCGCTTCACAGGGACAATGACAAGCTGCTCTGATACGTTGACAATAATCTGTGCATGCTTGATACAGCAGGAGTACAAGCTGGTCACGGAACAGGCGCTTCGCCACCAGCCTCTGGACTTATTCGGGTTCATAGAGAACCTAGTAAAAAATAGCCACAGCAGATACACGGGGCTACTTATGCAATAACCTGTACTGTGGACAGGTAAATTAGCCGATTGTCAAATTGGCAAAATCATATTCTGCTACTGCGGTCTTGTACAATGTATGTACAGTTTCTTCTCAACGACATGAGATCCTGTCACTCAGGTTTTCGTCCTGCACCCGGTTACCATGCCAGTGTTCGCAGGTCTATCTAGGAGGCTGCACAGCGCCCAGCGTGGCATTGACTCGCTAGATTGTCATTGAGCAGCGCTGTAGCAGAGTCTAAACACAGGTAGCCGGAGACCGCCAGGAATGCGCTCCGGGCTTCAGTTGCGGGCACTGAAATCCAACCCAAAGCACAAGACCAGTTCCGATTACATCATTGTACGTGTACATGTGTACGTCCAGCCGCATTCAAAGGACTTGGAAGTTGAGGACGCCAGCTTTGCACATTGGGTTGGATTTCAGTGAGCGCAACTGCACATCCCTGATCGGACACATACTGTATTTTCTGAAATTAGCACCCGTCTTTTAAGACCTGTCTGACATAAGCGCCACATCATCTCAGGGCTTCTGCGTAGACACTTCTCATAACTTTTTTAAGAACTTTGAAGCTCCATTGTAGCCTTGTCATATTTTCAACTCGCTATCCCTGATGATGCCCTCCTGGGTGAACATTTGGACAGTTACTGCACGTGGTGTAGCGAAGGACTGTTCGTGCGTTGCGAGTTCGGTGTACTGAAAACTTCTCATATTGGCTGAAATTATAGGGCTTCCCAACAGGAGCGTAGAAGCCGGTCCGGCTGGTCCGGCTTTGGCCGAACCACTTTTTTTAAACACAATGCCCAAAGTCCCCAAAATGCAGGGTTTTGCACCCTATTATCAAATTTTTCTCACGGGACACCCCGGACCCTCTCCTGCTGGACCACCTCCAACGGCGGGGCTACGCGCCTGTGGAAACTGCTAAGGACGTCAGTCAGTATTGCCGAAATACGGTACTAGTATAGCCATGTAAAGCTGCGTTATGTCTACCCCATGACTGACTATAGGGGGAAGGCAAGTGGGTGGCCAACTCCTCACAATCCCTGCATCAATGAGTCACATGATGTCAGCCATGATGTCAGCCATGTGGGACTTTTGTGGGTTCCAACTCCACCTCCCCCCCCCCCCCCTCAACATCAATGGGTCACATGATATCAGCAATGTTGTTTCAGCTCCACACAGCCCCTGCATCCATGAGCCACATGATATCAGCAATGTTGGTTCCAAATCCAGCTAAGCCCTCAATGGAAACTGGCCTAACGGATAGCCTGCGGTGCTGAAACATACACGCCACCAGAAACGAATGTGTTGACATTATCGGCACACTAGTGTACCTGCCATCCCGCACAGTTCTGCGCCTTTGATTGTTGCAGGGTGGCGGCGCTCCTACGCATGTTGAAAACTCAGTCTAACCCAGTCTCAAGTGAACAGTGATTTTGTTAGTGTAGTCGAAGAAGGATTGAACATAATTAATAATACTGTAAGTCAAGTAAAAAATTTCAGCCCATTCAAATTTCGGCCTCCCAGGGCTAAAACACATTTCGGCTGCATTACATTTTTGGCCTGTGCTGCTGCTGCCTGTATACACTGTCACACTGAATCTTGCAAAACTAAATTTCGGCCGCAACACATTTTCGGCCAAACATGACCAGGCCGGAAATAGCCGAAAATAAACATGGGCTGAATATTAATTTTGTTGACTTACAGAGCACCATAGGGCTGGCATCACAGTCATGCTTGGCGCAGTGATGCTTACAACACTCACATTTAGCCATACACATTACCCGTATGGGGATACCCACACATCCGGAATGCGTGACCTGGTGAACCTAACTGGGCCTACCGGGTTGCCCCGAACGGCCTAGCCACTTTGCCTCTCTCTCCCTGGCATGCTTTCACAACACCTTTAGTTTACACACGCTCGCCAATGGCCTAGCCACTGTGCCTCTCTGTCATGCATTCGTAACACCTCTAGTTTACACACGCTCGCCAATGGCCTAGCCACTGTGCCTCTCTGGCATGCATTCGTAACACCTTAAGTTTACACATGCTCGCCAATGGCCTAGCCACTGTGCCTCTCTGGCATGCATTCGTAACACCTTTAGTTTACACACGTTCACCAATGGCCTAGCCACTGTGCCTCTCTGGCGTGCATTCGTAACACCTCTAGTTTACACACGCTCACCTGCACTAGCGGGATGGTGGTGATGAACGGGAAGATGCGATCACCATCTCCGGTGAGGTCATAGTCCCTACCGTCAGCGAGAATAGCACTGCACACGAAGAAGCAACAAACACCGACAGTGAACTTGAACAGAAGATTATGTGGATTTCGAGCCGCACAGAAAAACAGCTTTCCAACCCAAAGACACACACATATGGAATTTTATAGAAGAGGAAAAGGACAAAGGAACTACAAGTTTCTTGGTCCTTTTTTTCTATAAATTGATCCTCTGCTCTCCATCCGAGTACATATGAGATTATGCAACAATCTCCCCTCCTCCATGCGCTCTCAGCTGACATGCACCCTCGGTAGCCATCACACACAGACCAATAATTCCAAGCAACGAAGGGGTCCCTGGTACTTCAAGTAGTGTTACTGATACAATTCCTTCTCACAGCTGTTTCGCCTGCCAAAGGCTCGTCAGAGAAAGTGATGCTGATCAGGATATTGTAAGAAGACGAGGAGAGAAATTGTTGCATTATTGAACAGCCCAATGGTACAGTTCACAATTTTATTTATATAATTACAAGATTTGTAAATAAGCGACGAGGCGGAAAATTAAATTTTGAATTGAGACAAACAGAACGAGCTGAACAGTCGTTCAGAACACAATAAAGCCTTTGTGGAATGATTCAAATGACTGTTCAGCTCGTTCTGTTTCTTGCATTTCTAAAACTTATGAGATGGGACACGTTATTCCAGTCGGAGGGGTAAAGGCAATGCGACAGAGCTCGAGCGCATTCAAACTGAGCAGGTGGTGCCCATCTCCGGTACATTGTTCTCCCAGTGCATCATTTCTCCTGCTGGCCTGCACCCGTACACGTAGCTGCCGGCGTTGCCGTACAGCTACTGTAAGACCAGTAATTCTAACGAACATTCATTTCTAACGATGTAACAGATTTATAAAATTTGTTAACAATAATTTTGAAGTTGTTATGTGCAAAACAATTATGTATTAAGTACAGTCATTTGCCGGTTTTAAGACTGAATTCGTTAGAATTTCACTTCGCTAACCCACACAAATACGGAGATCGCCAACTTGACGTTAAAATATCTGGTCTTACAGTACTTAGGTGTGTCCCGTTAGCCGTCTGCGTGCCCATATTTGCCATTGCTACCCACCCCAATGCATGCTGCATGTAGCTCTCCTCTCTCCCCATGTTTTCATGCCAAACAAGAACAACTGCTGCCCTCGAGTTGTCCACTAGTGAGCTGTCGGATTCTCAACATAATTATCTGCACAGCATTATCACTCGTGCATATTGCCCTCCACTAATTATTGTGATCATCGAGCTATATAGCCATAACTGTGACTGTTTATATTGACCACCTAGGCAATGCATTACTTTGACTTTTAAGGGACTTAGTGGTAGTGACTTCGGCAATGATTTGCTAGGAAAGGGTTTGCTCCCCACGCTGGAGCTCGCGCTTTTCCTGCGGCTTGACTTGACTGACTCGATAATTGTCTCCCAACTTGAATATATTTTGAAAGAAATAGGAAAAAAGGTAGGTTCAGGCCTGGTTTACAATCTGGTTTTGGGAAATTTATTTTTGATTGCTATCAAGTTCGGCCTCATTTTCTCTGTGCTGCGCTGATGAGTCCACGAAGAACGAAACAGTCCTGTCCGCAGATTGAGTGAAAGAAATAGGACAAATGTGGAGAGCAAGCTGGACCCGCAACAGTACGAATTTCAAGGAACCCTGTAACGTCATTCCACCCTGCCAAGGTCCTGCAGGACCCCACTGAGCACTCTTACACACGGTTGTATGCCCCGTCCCCTTCCCTATTTGTGATGACCCTGCCTTCTCCTCTACCAGTCAATGGACGGCATTTACAGTGAACCTTGCGAAGAACCATCCTCGATTGTGCATGAGAAAAAAGTCGTCATTCACGATTATTTTGTCCTTGTCCTGGAGGTTGAAAAATTCACGGTTCACGCGACCAACCGGATGTATCAACAGCACTTACTTGAGTGTGAGGTTTAGCTCGGTGAATGTCTCGGTGATTGGATAGTCCAGACGCACGCTAGGCGACAGGTACGTCAGCGACGTCGATCCTTCCGTGAAGCTCACGCTAGTTCTCTCGCCGAGCCGTGCGGTGGCCGACAGGGCGACCTGCGGGAATGCGGCGTACGACGCATCCCAGCTGACAACGACCGTGATTGTGTTCGAGACATTGTGCGCGGTCGTGGCACGTATCGTCACGTTGCGGCTTTCCGTGTTGGACGGCGCGAGCAGTGTATGATGGTAGCGTAGTCCTCGCAGTGTCTGAGACAAGAAACAAAGAGTAAAAAGCCGTGCACGTAATCAAGTGGTTTGCTTCACTGTCCGAAGAGTGCTCAATACCCATGTAGGGCAGAGCCTTGTACACAAGAGAGATTGGAAGCTGTGTAACAACTCTGAGTTTCACGTATTACTACGATCATCAGGCAACTGGGCAACTGAGTTGCCTGATGATCATAGAAATACGTGAGACTCAGAGTTGTGACACAGCCTCCAATGTCTCTTGTATAAAATGCCATGCATACATATGCTCTGCAATTAGCATCTCAATAGAGTGGTTTCTCATCTGTCACATAACCATACGGGACAGCCATGTTGGTTCCAGCTCCACTCAACCCCTGCATCTGTGGGTCACGTGATGTCGGCCATGTTGGTTCCAATGTTCACATCACGTGATCACTTTATGCACAAATTTAGTCACATGACCAAGATGTGAACCCACTCTTTAGTCTATAACTGTATCCAATATGTTGCCAATGGTTTGGGTCAAGATGCATCAGCGACGAGAAAGAGAGAGAGAGAGAGAGATTACATGCTACCACTGCCTAGGAAGTTAGGAATCTCGGGGTAATGAGTTCTCAATGAATTACCGGAAACCCATAAGTTTACGAAACCCAGCCATTCTACTCTGAGATTATTTTCTCGAATGAAATTCCAAGCATCAGCTAGTGGCGCTGTCAAGCGAATGAACTAATTCAAAATTGATATGTGTACACCTATGGATTTCCTGCTGAGTGATTTTCCCGCCTCACGACTGCTGTCTTAAATGCATTTGAAGAGTGTCAGACTCATTTGGCAAACCCTCGAGCGAGAACAAGTCCCGCTCAGTACATCTTTCATGGATATACCCACACACAACACTCTGAGAAAAACAATGGGTAGAATGATTAAAGTACTGCCGATTACCGAAGAACTGAGTGGTCAACCTTATAGCCTAGACTGTTCTTGAAGAACTGAGTGGTCAACCTCATAGCCTAGATTGTTCTTGAAGAACTGAGTGGTCAACCTCATAGCCTAGACTGTTCTTGTTTTCCTATAATTATCACAGTCTATGGACAGTTGAGTCACCGTGTATACATTGGTGTGCTGTGTTTGGTGACTTTCTAGATTGTTCGTTCTTGGACGCTCCGTTCCCCGGCGCCCGACAGTACTGCACGTACGGAGAATACAGAGCGCAACACTCACATCAGTAAATTGGAGATCAGAGAAGTTGGTGAAGTTCAGCACCAGTGTTCCGTCAGTTGGAGACCGGTTTGTCGATGCCGGCTCGGATATCCCGGAGTCATACAGCAGGCCTTCGCGATCCCAGTCCGGTGGTGACACGAGAGTAATAGTAAGCGACGTGGTTAAATCGCTCGGGAACGATGATAACACCACTCCGCTGTTTAGCAGCTGCACGGTAGTGTTTTCCAGGGTAATGGTCGCTGTTGTCGTTTCATCCTGGACAAGAGTAAGGCTGGGATCTAGACGAATCTGTGGATCTGGGTAACAAAGCAAGAACAACAGCATACAGCACATCATTCTGTCAATGCCATAATCATCATATCAATCGGTTAACATTTCCCCAAACAAAGCAACAATCTATAAGCGGTACGTTGCATGCGACAGTATGCTTCCAGTATCAACCTCCACCATAGCCAAAAGCAGCATTAGCAGCAGCAGGTGTGAAAACAATGCCAACAGCAGCAGCAGCAGCAGCAGCAGCAGCAGCAGCAGTAGTAACGACATCACCACTATTGCGACCACCGCCACCAGCATGAACAGCAGCACCATGAACAGCAGCAGCAGTACAAACAGTACAGCTGCAGCAGCTAGAGCAGCTCCACGGGTGCTACAACAGAAGAATGAGCTATATACAGGAGAAGCACGATTAGCACCAAAAGCAGAATGGACAGCAGCAGCAGCACCACCACCACCACCAGGAGCATCGGCAGCAGCAGCAGCAGCACCACCACCACCATTACCCCAACCACCACTACCACCCCAGGAGTATCTGCAGCATCTACAGCAGCAGCAACAGCACCACCGCCACCAACAACAGAAGCGAACCAAAAGACCCACAGCAGCAGCAGCAAAAGTACCACCAACACCACAGCAAACAGCAGCAGCAGGAGCAGCAGGGAGCGCCAGCAGAAACAATAGCTGAAGCAGTAGGCTCGCTCGAGCAACGTCTACATTGAGGTGCTGAAAAAACTTGTCGAAAACTACAACAATAGTGAACACCGTAAAATTGGGATGACCCCCATGGAAGCCTTCCTAGAGAAACCGACTGAGCAACTGCACGAGCCCATTGCGGATGAGCCTGTCCTTCAAGTCGGAGGAGTACCGACAACATTAGTGGCAAAAGCAGCCACAGCAGCAGCAGCAGCACCGATCGTGCCAGTAGTTTTCATTAAAAAACGGAACTCACTTTGAGATAGGGCTGGTTCTAGTAGTATTGCGAGGAGGAATATGCCTAAAATGAGTAATCGTCCACACGGCCGAAGTGGTGTGCACAGTGTTGTTCTTGATCGACTTTGTCGTGTCGCAAAGGAAACTGGATTCCTTCTTTGATGGCCCGATGACTGCACAGGCGCAGGTAGGTGGCACTGCGGATGATGTCGCTCCTCATCCATGGTAAATGCAACCTGCAATTCACATGGTAATCAGAACAAGACACAGGACGTCATAACCATGTCTTACGCGGTAGGGCTTAGGCTACTGGCATCCGTCGAAGAACTGTTGTGACAAATCAGTACGCTGCCCCCATGTAACACCGGTGGCAGGTGAAAGTCAAACTCTGTTAATCCTGTGTTCCACAACCACTGTATTGAAAGACCACCTGTCTAATGAGGACAGTAGCATCAACAGGCAGACTATGTTTTCTTCATACATTAGGACCTATTTATCAGGACCTCCTGTTTATGAGACTGGCCACATTCTCACCCAGACTCATGGGCGTCGCTGGTCCCCCTTTAGGGGATGCACTGCAGCTGTATCATACGTCTAGCCTAGGATGGCTGGTGCATTTCATCATGGTCATAATGTCCATGCTGGGGGTGCACATGCCTTCCTCCCCCCCCCCCCCCCCTCCCCCGTGGGCTATGTGCCTGCAGACTAATGTTTCTACATATTATACTGGAACTTGTCCATGAAGACCACTGGTGTAGCAGGATCGGTGTTCTGTGCTCCCCGGAGTGGTTGCTAAACCCACGTACCAACATGATGCATTCAGGACTGTGAAGCCCTTGGATATCTTCGATAGATTTAGGACTGTGAAGCCCTTGGATATCTTCGATAGATTTAGGACTGTGAAGCCCTTGAATCAATATGGTGGAAACCGTAAAACCCTGGATTCACTTTGGTGTATTTAGGGCTGTGAAGACATGGAATCAATTTGATAGATTCAGGACCGCGAAGCTCTGGCTCCACTTGGGTAGAGTTATGGGCTGCGGCACCCTGGAGTCACTATGGTAAATTCAGGACTGTGAATACTCTGGAATTACTATGGTAGATGGAGGGCAGCGAAGCCCTGGAATCACTATGGTGGATTCAGGACCATGAAGCCCTGGAATCACTGCGGTGGATGCAAGACTGTGCATCCCTGGCTCCACTATGGCAGATTCAGGGCTGTGGCACCCTGGAGTCACTATGGCACAATTGTCGGCATTTCTGAGACACCGCCACCACCTCCACCCGCTGCCTTTTCCAAACCATAACCACATGGTTGTTCCACTATGGCAGGCATAATAAATAAATGACGGTTTGGCACTGTGTGTGTCTGTGTGTGCACGCGTCAGAGCGTGTATTTGCATGTATGAACATCAAACTAAACGTTATATCTCCTTGGAACTAATTCGGAGGCTTTTGCCCAACCATTTTTACACCCTCCCGCCACTCTCTGAGTTTCCACCCAACTATGCGTTGTACAAAAGAAAATCCATACTCGCAACGCAAACAACCTCTTTTAGCTTGACATTCTATTCGCTACCAATCCCTCTGCCAAGATATGGGAAGTTACCAGCTTTTGATACACAGAGCATGCATGCATTTTTACGTGACTTCCAACTTTCCAGACAACCTTTTAGCATTAGATCAAACCGGCAAGCAACATTGCTATTAATTTGAAAGACTTTAGCTGAGGACTGTCACAATAAAACGTTCTTAGGGTCAACAAACTTATCCATGGATGGTGTGAGTAGATTCATCATGCATGGTTGTGTAGAATGACTGGGAATGTTGTGAGTATTGATTGCGACTGAACGTTTGTCTGCTCGTTGACTTTCAAATGCCTGAATATAAATGCTCCGATCCAGCACAAGAATGAAGTGATCCAATGACTTGTGTCTGATGGAAAATGTCTATAAACGTATCCATGCCATTTCCAGACATGAGCCTGCAACCTCTCATATGTGTCTCCAAAATGCAGTCCACAGTATCCAGTGTCATGCTTCGTTGTGCTCAACTGTGGGAAAAGCCATCTCACGTTGGCAAATGCCATGGTCACTGATCCTCATGTCATGATGTTTCCGTCAGGGGGATATTTGGAGGCACTGTTTCTACCAGGAATGCAACGCTCAGAGCGTGCTGCAAACAGTGCTCACACTGCCAGCCACGCGTGGGCTTGAGGCCCTACGCTAGCCATAAGAGTGCTCAATCTGTCACCGCACACACCGTATCGTAAGTCCCTAGATCTATTCTCTGTCCACTTCTCGAACTCACCGAATACGAAGGGAGCCTGACACCACAGAGCCAGGTGGTCTTCTTCAGCGCCGCAAATAACGGCAGTGGTGTGATTCCACGCGTCTAGTCCGCTCTCGAGACCACGATCCAACTTTTCCTAGTCTATTGGTGATACATGACTAATACTAACTAAAGTATCTTTGGCGACGAATCGCTACGCGTTCTCAGCACCGGAGATGAAATTCGAAAGACGAGTCAACGGAGTGTCCGCACGCCGTTCCTTACGACCTTAGTCTCTGCTCTATGTTTCAAACCTACTCCGCTTGCCTTTGGTTCCTCGCAGTTCTAAAACATTTTCTGCTTAGCTACGTATGCCAAGGCTGGCGATTAGAGTTGAATTTGATCTGCGGCGAGAGCCGATAATTCTATGTCCACCATCCAGAAGAGTGGTTTTCGCCCTCAGTAACAGTTGAGCGATTCCATACCTGTGGAACTGACCGTTTAGCTTAGTTCCGATATGCGAAAGTATGTCGGAGATAACGCTCCACGCAGACCAGCCCGACCCATCCGACTAGCTTGGCAGGCCGGCCCAGCGTGCTTGAACACAGCCTCACAGGCGCACTCGGTCGACTCGAATGGCCGCCCCGTACAAATGCTGGTTTCCACGGGAACCGTTGCGCTGTGCACGTGATTTTGGCAGGCGCATGTCGACAAGCTGTGCGTTGGTATGCATCATCCTTCGTACAGACAAACGGACGTGCTCACATTCATGTATACAGATGGATCTTGAATTCGAGTTTGCAATGAGTAGAAAATACCCGTACTGGCCGGCGTAGGTGGAGATTCCAGAACGGTACTATAATGTCCTTCGCTGGGATCGGAGACCATGCACTGATCAAGGCGGTGGCGAAATCCGTAGTCCCTTGATGGCTCTTTGACATGACACCATTCGGAGCGTGATCCTCCACTCCAGCCACTTCTTGCAAACTCTAGTCTAGCACGCTACGCACAGTTCCTTTTCCCTATGTAAAATCCCGAACTGTGACATTTGCAGCTTCGCGCGTGCCCGGAAGACCTAGCTGGGACCTGCCTTCCAGCGTGAACTGTCAAAAGCTGACAGTGTGACATTGCCTCAGCACCCTCCGACAGATGGAACTAACGACTCCGTCATCCTACTACCGTACTCGTTCAACAAGTGCAGTGGCAAATTTGAAAAGTGCGTTTGAAAGGATCTGCAACCGTGCGGAGTGGATAGCTATTATGGCTCGTAGATCCATGCAGAGCCGAGGCATGTGAAGTGGCTGAAGCATGATCTGGATTGTGGACCACCAACGCAGCTGCGACAGTCTGTGTTGTGTGTTTTAGTAGCGAACGCCACAAGCTGCCCCTAGGGTAACCGTCCTGCACGCACGACCAACGAGAGATCGCATGTCCCTGGCCTGATCTTAGGGAGTGAAGGCATCCAAGACCAGAACCATGAACACCATGCATGGGTTGTTCGCGTGCAAGACTAAACTAAAGGCTAGCTGTCTGAACATGCCACACATTGATACTGGTATCACTATAAGTATAACTATAAGACCTTGGCTTGAGGCTTGAACTGACTTCTGAGAATGTGGCAAGCCATGTAGATCTAGTAGTACTAGTACAAAACATGTACTACAAGTATGGTATGATCGCTTGCAAGTCTTCAGCTCATACACGTAATCTTTACATTGTAAATGTGCAGCGCAGTGCACACTATAAACGCGCCCATCCTCACAGCAGACATCTATATCGACAGCCTGCCGACACACCGCCTGGAAAACATGCTACTTGTGTGTCGACCCGTGTTACCGTGAGTGGAGGTGTGGTGTTTTTCTATCAAACCAGTTACCTACCTCACAAGTACCACGGACAGAGACACTTGGAAATACATGTGCGCAAAGTGCATGTCTGTGGTTCTCCCGATCCCAAATGCTCGTGAGTTGTCAGCTTCTCTAGAATGCCGCAGGTGCTGCCTAGTCCCATTGCCCTCCCTGACCGAAGGAAGCGAAGGACCAACTACTGATACTTACAAGACTGGGTCGACAGAAGCCACTGCTAGTGCTAAGGATCTATGGGAATGAGGCCTGATTCATATAGAACCCTAACACTATAATTATTTTACCGTTTCAATGTAGATGTGTTTCTGGATTTATTAGTGCAAGTCCTTGGAGTATTATGCCGGCAGAAAAACTGGCAGAAGTTAGTCCTACTTTTCCTGGCATGATTCATGAATGTTTGGTTTGTGGATAAAGAAGTGGAGCAGAATTCAAGGAAGTGCCTGCAATAAGGTTTGTATGGGCCTGCCATAAGGTTTGTATGGGCCTGCCATAAGGTTTGTATGGGCCTGCCAATGTCAGTGCTTTTCGAGCAAAATCTGCCAATTTTTAAGCATTACTGTAAAATCGGAAAGTCTAACGAGTCACAAAGTCTACCGTTTTAACGACCAATTTTTTATTCGCTATTTTGAAGAAACGTTATCCCGAACCCAGTGTGTGAAAATGCGCATACATCGATGCATATTCTTAGTGGCCAGGTAGCCATCGTTAAATTTTCTGCACGTTATCATGCCAAAATGACAAAAACGTTAAATATTTTGGTCTTTAGACTTTCCGGTTTTACAGTATCCGCTTAGGGCTGTCAGTGGGTCCATTGTTATAAGGTTCAATTCACGCCTGTTTTGATTATCACAATAGATTTTGAAAAGTATACAACCACATTTCCTGGAAAACTCATGACATTGGTGTACATGTATATGTACTTGTGATTACTTTATTATGCGAGGTAAACTGGCGCGTTGAAGGGACCTGCTCGGTCCGAAGAAGGTCTATGATGATATGTCTTCTTTTGAGCAGTATCTGATCCTGCTCCGCGCATCCCCCTAGTTTCTGATATCTCGAACGTGTACTTAACTATCTCGATCACCACTGCTAACGTTATTGCCCCGCTTGTTTTTCATGATCCATTGCTTCTTGCCTCCCCGGTTAAGTTCCATCTAGCTGTTTCTGGCTAGTACCAGTTCTATCGCACTTATCAATCATCCTTATTGGCGTCACGCCATCGTGGAATAAAAGAATAATATCGGTACAAGTGATTTTGGCCTTTCAACCAGGCTCATGAAGTTATGGGAAGTTATCAAAGAAATTCGGTTGTCCATTTTTAGTCAAATGAAGTACAATGTGTGCAAGAGCGGAAGGTTTTCAATCTGCTACTTCTATTCAAGTTCGTTAGCAATACCACTAAGCATAGTGGAGTCCACACATTCGCGTTACCATGCTCTGCTACACTACAGTGTCGAGACACACAGTGAAGTTAGTTAGCGACAAGAGGAAATTGGAACCAGAGCCGGCATGTCGTCATAGCCCTCGATCTCCTGATGGACTGCGCGTTTCCGCGTGTCATACGTCAGTTGAGACCTCTCATCCGGTATAGAGGTTATGCGAAAGGATCACGTGCAGGCGGCGTGTAGGCGGCCAAAGCGGCCGCGCTCCGCAGGGGTGGCAAAAGAGATGAAAAGTTCAAAAGAAGTACATGTGCCTGGAATAATTTCACGAAGGAAATTTCCTGTATCGCTGTTACGTTCCTCTTCTGTTCTTTACAAAGGACTATTGTACGAACGCTGAATCAGTGGCCATGACTTCTCCCAAGTTTTCAAAAGTGTATGACGAGTTAGATGACTCCAGCAAATGCCGGTACCGTGAAAAGCTCGAGCGCGTTGCACCAGACTCGAGTGATCCTTACCTGCCCAGAAGTATTTTTTTAGGGGAAGATAAATTTCCACTTGTGGACTATCCCGATATTTACAATTTCTTGGTCAACGCGCCCAGCCCCTACACCAAGGAGCAGCTCAAGGCCTACAAGAGCTTGGAAGGCTACAAATACCTTGTCAGTGGCTGGGTCGGCGATGTTCGTGCGTTTCCAGCGTCTGAATCTGACACATGTGACAGCAAGTTTGTCATCGCCAAAGTCCGCCATTCCCAGTCAGTTTCCGGCACCCATCTGCAACCCTGGATTGCTGCGCAAAACGACGGTAGCGTGATTTGTGCACACTGCACCTGCATGGCTGGTCTTGGTGAGTCTTGTTCTCACGTTGCTGCACTGTTGTTCAGCCTGTATTCTAGAACGCAGCTGATTCAGAACACAGGAAGCACTTCATTGCCGTGCCAATGGTCAACTCCTTCAATGAAGGAGGTGGAGTATGCCAGGATTCGTGACATAAACTTCACTGCACCCGACACTAAACAGCATGGGAGCAAGCGCCGTAGGTCGGAGGAGAGAAGGTCCCTGCTGATATTAAGCAACCCTCCAGTGCTGAGCTGGGTGAACTATATGGAAATTTATGTCAAGCCGGTAAACCGTCATTACTCTCCCTTGTTCCCGGGTTCTGCGATAGGTACGTACCTTCCAAGCCCGAGGGATATCCACCCATTTTGGATTTATTGTACGAACCAGACATGCTGGATGCTAGTTTTGGGGACCTGCTCGTTCGTTGCGAGGCAGTATTTCCAGCGGTCTGTGTTTCAGAGGAGGAAGCACGCGCTGTGGAACAGGCTACGCGGAACCAGGCAGATTCCAAGGCCTGGTTTGAATTTCGCGCCGGCCGGATCACAGCTTCAAAGTTGAAGTCTGCTGTTCGCACGGATATTAGCCAGCCCTCTGCGTCCTTAGTCCGCTCTGTGTGTTACCCTGAGGCACACAAGTTTCGTAGCAAAGCCACACAATGGGGATGTGATCACGAGCAGAAGGCAATTGACAACTATAGTGAACATGCCAGTGCAACACATCAGAAGGTTGAAGTACTGCCCAGTGGCTTTGTAATTCATCCGGACTATCCATATCTTGGCGCTACTCCCGACTCCCTTGTGCAGTGCTCCTGCTGTGGCAACGGCGTGGTGGAAGTGAAGTGCCCGTACGGGTGCCGAGACAGTAGCCTGCATGATGCTGCCGATTCAGGGAAGTTCTGTCTAGTAAAGTCCGGCGGAGCACTCCATCTTAAGCAAGACCACATGTACTACTACCAAGTACAGCTACAGATGCTGGTGTGTAAGGTGCAGTACTGTGACTTTGTTGTGTGGAATGAAGGTCAGCTGTTTGTGGAGCGTATCTGTGCAGACACAGATTTCATCCGTGAAGCGGTAGCAGGTGCCAAGAAATTCTTCCAGTGTGCTGTTCTCCCAGAGCTTGTTGGGAAATGGTTCACTAAGACGTTCTCCACTCTTCCTGCCGATGCGTCTTCAGCGGCTACATCAGCCTCGGAACCACTTGGTGCTGCCAGTACAACATCTACTGCGGATCAAGAACGCCCTCCGGAGTTTTGCTACTGCAAGTCTGTGAAGGCTGGCGAGGTACTGCGATGTTCCAACAACGATTGCAGTATTCGTTTGTTCCACATGGCTTGTTTGCAGCTGAAGAGTAAGCCAAAGCGCAAGAACTGGACCTGCCCGGAGTGTCGCAAGATTAAATCTGCCACTAAATAATGATATGCATG